AGATAAATAGAATATGATGCTGGTGTTTAGAAACAAATATAACATTACAGGTGATATTTATAATTAAATAAAATGTTACTACATATATTTATGAATAAATATAACATTATTGCTGGTATTTATAATTAAATGCAATGTTAATGCATGTACTTACGAATAAATATAACATTAGTGTTTGTATTTATAAGTAAATACAATGTTACTGAATATATTTACGACTAAATATAACATTATTGCTTGTATTTATAATTAAATGCAATGTTACTGAATGCATTTATGACTAAATATGACATTACTGCTTGTATGTATAATTAAATGCAATGTTATTGAATATATTTATAGATACATATGATTTTGCTGGAAGGAAGGACGGGGTCTGCTGAAATGCAGTATAAATCAACCATGTGTAACCAACACAGCGGTGAGCTGGAGAGTGGGTGAATGACCGTCTTTGTCACTTCAGATCAAAGGACTTGTTCGTAATTGCAAAGAAAAGAACAGTTATGTGTAAACAGAATGTTGGACGGATGAAGGACAGAACGAGGCCATTCTTCTCGTCGTGCCCGGCTAGCTTCTTGGCAGGGAAACCTCCTCTCACCTCTCCTCCCCCATTCAATCTACCCTCTCCCATCTTAATCCTCTCCGCTCTGGGGAGAAAGATCCCAGCTTCTCCCTACCTTTCTCTCTGCCCCTCTCTCTCTCTACATGAACCAAAATGCCTCATTCCCCTCCTCCCACCCCTGGTCTCCTTTTGGAAAATCCCACAACCTACCCTTGTTCCTTCCCAAAAACCAGGACCTCAGAACTCTGCACACACCGATCTTAAACATCTAGATAGATGGAGGCATAGGTAGTGTTGAGGAAGCGGGGAGGCTGCTGAAGGATTTGGACATGCTAGGGGAGTGGGCAAGAAATGGCAAATGGAATACAAAGTGGGAAAGTGTGAGGTTATGCACTTTGATCAGAAGAATAGAGGCATAGACTGTTTTTTTAAATGACGAAAGGCTTCGGAAATCTGAAGCACAAAGGGACATGGGAGGCCGAGTTCAGGATTTTCTTAAAGTTAACATACAGGTTTAGTTGGCGGTTAGGAAGGCAAATGCAATGCCAGCTTTCATTTCGAGAGGGCTAGAATGCAAGAGCACAGATGTACTGCTAAGGCTGTGTAAGGCTATGGTCAGACTGCATTTGGAATATTGTGAGCAGTTTTGGGCCCCCTATCTAAGAAAGGGTGAGCTGATTTTGGAGGCAGTCCATAGGAGGTTTACAAGAATGATCCCAGGGATGAGGAGCTTGTCATATGACGAGAAGTTGAGGATTCTAGGTCTGTACTCAGCCTTTAGGATAATCTAGTGGGGTTGATTTGATTGAAAATTACAGAATACTGAGAAACCTGGATAGAGTGGATGTGGAGAAGATGTTTACACCAGTAGGAGAAACTAGGATTTGGGCACAGCCCCAGAGTGAAGAGATCGCCCTTTAGAACTGAGATGAAGAGGAATTTCTTCAGCCAGAAGGTGACGAAACTGTGGAACTCATTGCTGCAGAGGGCTGTGGAGACCAAGTCATTGACTCTATTTAACACAGAGATAGATAGGTTCTTGATTGGTAAAGGGACCAAGAGTTACGAGGAGAAGGCAGGAGAATGGGTTTAAGAAACATATCAGCCATGATCGAATGACAGAGCAGACTCAATGGGACGAATGGCCTAATTCAACTAATTTTGTCATGGATAGACCATTTTTAATTTCTCCTGCTCCCACTAAAGATTTAAAGGACAGCAGAACCTTCACGGAGCACAAAGAGGCCTCTGAGCCCATTGGGTCCAAACTAATTGCCCGCAAGAGCATCTTATTCCATTCTCTAGACTTCTACCATACACCACTACCATCCCAACCCGCCCCTAGAGTCCTACCAATTCCCTCCTTTCAGATATTGGCTCGAGAACATTCAATTGATCAATTGAACCTCCATACTCCATGTCCAGACCCTAACCACTGGCTACAGAGAATGAGCCCTATTACTTCTTTTATGAATCATCTTATGTTCCCCTATGAAATCTGGCCTTCTCTTCTCCACGGAAAGCTGTCTCAGCTTCCCGGATCTATCCTCGTCTCCAGATCCTTCTCTCTGTCTGAAATCTTCACATCCTTGTTCACGGGGAGTACAGAGAATTGGGAACAACACCAGTTAGATAAAGCCGGACAAAAGATTCTTGCCAATGGTTGTCTCAGAGCATACTCTCTGCTCTAACACTAACCCTAACCATAACCCTAACCTAAGCCTATTCTGAACTCTAATCCTAACCATAACCCTAATCCTAACCCTAACCCTAATGCTAATCCTAAATCTAATCATATCCCTACCCTAATTTTACTCCTAATCTTAACCCTAAACATAACCCTAATCCTAACCCTGACCCTGACTGTAAGTCTAGCCACAAACCTAACCCTAATCCTAACCCTGATCCTAACTCTAAACATAATCCTAATCCCAACCTAAACATACCCCAATCCCAGTCCTAATCCTAGCTTTAACCTAATCCTAACCCTACCCCTAGCCTTACCCAAATCCTAAACACAGCCCTAAACCTAACTCTACCCTAATCCTAATAATAACTCTAATCCTAATCCTACCCTAATCCTATACCTAACCCTACCCTAACCTCAACCCTAATTCTAACCCTACCCTACCCTAATCCTAACACTAATGCAAATCCTAATGGCAACTCTAATCCTAACTCTAAAGCTAATCCTAACCCTAACACTAAACCTACCTTTAACTCCAACCCTAACCCTACCCTAACCCGAGCCCTAAGGCTACCTCTAACCCCAGCCCTAACTCTACCCTACCCTAACCTTAACCCTAACCCTAACCCTAATCCTAATGATAATGCTAACCCTAACCCTAACCCTAATCCCGTTTATACAGATGAAGTCCGTTCTATTCAGCATCTCCTCAAACCTTCAAACCTCTGGGCACAGAGGAGACCCTCTGAGTTAGGTGATTGTGAAATCTCACGTTTCTAGCCGTCCAATTTCAGTGAGACTTCACACTCAGAGGGTTACCTGGCACAAGAAGTTTAAACTGTGACTCAAAACTAGATTTCTTCAGGATATTGCAGATGGAGAAAGGGAGAGTTCAGAAGAATTGTATGAGGAAAGTGACTGGGCTGAATGTATCCAGCTGGCAAGCTCATCCCTCCCAACCCTCCCCGAACCGCAGACAATTTTACTTCTTGGCAGTGTCTTGCTCCCAAGACCTATCCAGTGTAAGCATTTGTAAGATCTTTCAAGGGTGGGAGTTGATTCCAATCCAAGCTATCCCAAGGGAAATCAAATTGTGAATTAAGGGCTAAGGATTGCAGGGCTGTGGGAGTGGTCTTCAAAGAGCTAGCACTAATGTGATGGTCTGAATGGCCTCTCTCAATACGCATTGGTCTCTGATTCAAACATATTATGCAGACATGGTCGATAACCTGAGGAACTATCAACAGGAACAAGTCCCCATCAGCAGCAATCAGCAATATTAAATTACCTTAATACTTAAATGGACTGGTCACACTATTTGACACGCTCACTCACTCCTAGTCCCACTAATTCATTCATATTAACGTGCACTCACTCGTCCACTAACTAACTCTCACAGTTTAATTCTCACACACTTGCTAACCCACACTAACTCAAACACACTCACTAACTCTCGCGCACTCAACTCACTACCTCATGCATTCAGTAATTCTCATACATGCACTAACTCACATTCAACAAACTCTCTCGCATTCACAAGCACACTTACTGACTCACGCATTCACTAACTCACGCATACTCCCTATCTCACACATACACACTCTTATAATGTAGATATCTATACATATTTACACATATACATGCATATAGAAATACATATATACACATTTACCCATAGAGACACATAAGCACACACAAATAGTTATATATGCACATGTATATACACACAAGCACAGAAATATATAAACAGAAGCACATAAACGCATACAAACTAATATATATGGATCTATACAGACATAAACACATGGATATACACATATACTCAAATATAGATACATGCACACACATATATACATAATCAGACAAATAAAACAAACATGCATAGCACACAGTTCTGAAGAAGGGTCAAAACAGGCTCGAATCTTAACTGTATTTCTCTCTCTACAAATGCTGTCAGACCTGTTGAGTTTCTCTTGCACTTTCTATTTGCTATGCTTACATGGGGGAGGTAATGGCCGAGTGATGTTATTGCTGGACTGTCATTCCAGAGACTCAGATAATTTTCTGGGGACCTGGGTTCGAATTTTACTACGATAGATGGTGGAATTTGAATTCAATAAAGATCTGGAATTAAGAGCCTAATGATGACTGTGAATCCATTGTTGATTTTTGGAAAAACCCATCTGGTTCACTGATGTCCTTGAGGTTAGAAAACTGCCATCCTTACCTAGTCTCACCTACATGTGACTCCAGATCCACAGCAATGTGGTTGACTCTTAACTGCCCTTTTGGCAATTAGGGACGGGTGGTAAATGCTGCCTGGCCAGCGACGCCCTCATCTCGTGAATTAATAAAGGAATTATCCTACACATAAACACGTATATACGCACAGATCCATATACTCAGGCCTGAATATATACTCAAGATATTGACACATACGCATACCTAATATACACATTAACATATTTACAAGCAAATCCATATACGCTCAAGCATCCATACACTCAGACTTACGAACACAGACATGTCCTCACAGTTATACATTCACGTGTATATGGATAGATCCATATGCTTAGGTAATAATATAAACTCAAATATCGACAATTGCACATAACTAATATGCACTCAAACACATTTGCATGCAAATACACACACACACACACACACACACACACACACAGGCATACGGTCATATACACACCGTTTTACTCAGAGACACATATACACTGGGATATATGAACACATTCTTTTTCACGCACACTCTAATCCATAAACCCATCTATATTCCTTTGCTTGATGGAGGTATTTCATTGGTGGACTGCCAGTTTTCAGAAACTGGGGGTCTATAACCCCACAGAACGTGCACCTCGATAACTCACCTTTCCTTGATACTGCCTGTTCGGTGAAGGACACAATCTTTGTCTGGATTTTTTCTCCCAGTTGAACAACACAAGAACAGAGGGCACCGCTTGTCCACTGTTCACTCGTCACTGTGACCTGACTCGTGATGTTCCAGGTGCCGTCCGGCTCCTTCTTCCCGACATCGCTCGCCCCCTCGGTGACCTCACCGGAAATATTCCAGAAAATGACAATCTGGTTGGAAGAGACGCCGCTGACGAGACACACCAAGGGGACGGTGCTATTCTGGGCAGGCACAGACAGCGGGACGAAGACTAAGACAGACGTCTTGTTGGTGGAACTGTCTGGACAGAGATTGGGACACGGTTAAGGAAAAACGAACGCAAAATGAAAATTTTGTGAACGGTTAGGGTTGATTTTGGTGTTTCTCTTACCTCCAACAAGCAGTTTTGGTCCATTTCGGAGTGGAGCATAGCCATCCCTATCAGCACAGTAGTAGGTCCCAGAGTCATCCACCTGGACGTTGCGAATTTCCAGTACCAGCAGGCGCTCGCTACGACCTTTTTTTGAAATAAATTTACAACCGGACCCTTCACAGTTGGTGATGTTGATTACCACCGGGACGTCACCTACAGTCTGTTTGTACCAGAAATAGCTGCTAACCAACTCGACTGCATAGCTGTGATGGCACTCCAATTCGACGGTCTCTCCGACTTTTGCCGTCTTGGCGAGGGGTCCCTGAGACACAGCGAGCTGGGAATCTGTAACTGAAGAGATAAAAGTGGCATTAAAAGCGATTATTGAGAGATGGCAGTGGAGACCCTTTGCTCGCTGTACCGAGAGCCGCCCTGTCATTGTCTACAATGACTCCAATGATCACTTCTCACACTATTGACTACGTTAGTCCTATAATTTGGGAGACTTCAGATAAATATCCTCACTGGACATGGTCGAAATTCCTTCTTTATGGGGAGGGGTGGAATGGGGGTAGGGGAGGAGAGACTCCCACTTTCCGCCCGATTCCGGGCGACTTTTTGAAATTCCCGCCCGCCTTTCACTCACCATAAAGAGCCAACAGTTGGACAAGGAGCATCAGGAAGAGGGTTTCCTTGGTCATTTTTCGGGATGTGGATAATTTTCCCTCCGCTCCCCCCTGCGCTGGTTTGTGTGTGTGCGCGCGCGCGGCTGGGAAAGTGTCAGCAGGGTTGCGTTGACCTCAGGACCGGTCAGCCTCGCCCCTTCTGCGATCGGTTGAGGCGCGGCTACAATGGAAAGTATGACACAGTTGTGGGCGAGCTGCGCCGCTCGGCCAGAGCGCGGTCTGTGCGTCACCGAGGTCAGGGAGGCGAATACCTATAAATAAAAGCGTGGCCGCTCACAGGGCGCCGGGGGCACTGAACGAACGTTGGTAAATAACAATTAAACGCTGGATCCAACCCGCAAAGGGGTATTGTCATCTCCTAATTGTCTTGTTGAACCGATGCAATCCTTGTAGATGTGTTAGAAACACGCAAAGTGCTGTTAGGGAGAGAATTTCATATTAAAGGGTTAGGAAGACAAAGATACTGTTATGGAATCAGTTTCAACATAGAGATATTAGGAACATACACGTAATGTTGGAGAGTTTCAGTATTATAGGGATACTAGGAACACTCAAGTACTGTTAGGGAGAGAGTTTCAGTATTATATGGATGTTTGGAACACTCACAGTACTGCTAGGGAGAGAGTTTCAG